AAAAAAAAAAAAAAAGACAAAAGTGTGAGAAAAAATAAAATTTACTTATTCTTATTATTGTCCTGATAATATATATCAACTGAAGAAAATGTCAAATCCTCAGTGATACTTTTCAGATTATAGTCATACATAAAATTACATAATAAAATATGGGTGACAAAAGGTAAAAATAGATAAAAAATTGTTCCTCAGAACTACTTTTTGCTTTCAAGAAGGGGAATTCTGTTCATGGTTTTTACCATCATATAAATGTGAAAGTATGGTCAGTCTTTTTTAGCTATCTACCAGGTAAATTTAAGTGGATTTTGACTGAGATTTAGCATACTATATATAGAGACAATCACTAATTTACTCAATCTACTACTGATTCATAAGAAGGAAAAAAAAGGTAAGAAAACTTCCTTTTATTATTGAATTCTGTCACTATCCCAGACTAACAGACTAACTTAACACCTCCAATGGGAGCTACCATTTCCGTTGCAACAAATTCACAAAAAGGAAATAGTTGTGATGTGAAGGTCAAGAAAACTCATCATTAATCACTAAACATTGAGGAAATAAACAAAGGGAAACGGATAAAATAAGAAAAGCTGATTAGATTTATTTTCAATTACTATGACCTGCCACCGTATTTCAATCTGTGAAATGAAACTCTGCCTTATCTTAGGCTGGGAAATAAACATTACTTTTAAAAATACCCCAAAGGATGTATAGCAGCAGGTGTGCAGCAGCAGCTAAGGGTTAGCTGTTTTTCAAAAAAGTGTCATCTTAAGAAAAGCTGCCAACACTCTATCTGATTACCCCAAAATAATGACTTAGTACACTAAACCCCTTTTCCTCTTTGTGAAAAATAAGACCAGAGAGGTTATGTGACTTTCTCAAGGACACAGTGGCAATAAAATTCAAACCTAGGTATTTTGCCTCCGAATAATCTATTTTCTCACTGTTGTAAAGCATCCTCCTCCTCTCTCCACTGTTTTTAAGTTTCTGAACTAGGAACTTGTCTTAAAATTTATTACGGATCAGTATGGTATTATTTCTGCTTTTCTGTGAAAGCAAATAATCCAAAAGATAAATCATAACTAATTTTCATACAATGGGACAAAATACATAATAGATGAAACAGGACTCATTAATATTTATAAGAGTCTGTAAAATTACTTATGCTACAAGGTGCACCTGAAATCAAATGACCTATTTTGTTGCCTAAGAAAGAATGGCCTCAATGTGGGAAATCAAGTTTCTGATTTGAGTTTCTCAAAGTCTCATTTTATGATTACTCATTTCATAGGCATACTCATTCTCAACTATTACGTAAATTAAGATCCTAAAAACCTGGGTCTCCGTGGTGGTTCAAGGGGCTATTTCTCAGCACTATGAAGCTATCTGCAGCCACTGCAGCAGGAGTTTGATCCTGGCTAAGAAGCTGACCCACATGGCACAGCAGACCTCTCCTGTCTGGCCTGCAACCACCCTCAGCAGTGTATTTCCATCAATCTGCCTGATCTGTTCCCCACCTTGTCTGTAGTGAATCCTCTCATCCACCCCCCCACTCCACCCTTCTGGCCTGTGTCCCAATTCTTGTGTGCATAAATAAATAAATCTTAAAAAAAAAAAAATAAAGTAGCATGCACACACTACAGTATTTTACTAACATTGTGACCCAAGCTACAATGTAAATATTTCCAAAATAACCATGTTTAAGAGTAGTGCTCCACAGAGGTCTTAAGCCTCCACTAAACCAACAAGGAGCTGTGTTGTCATTGTCTTGGCTTTCACTTTTAGATAAGTTGAAGCCAACTTTATTACAGAGACATTTTCAAAGGTGTAATATACAGCTCAGTTACACAAGAAAACAACTTCCTGGCAGACATACCCACTTAGCTGTTCCCCAAACACCTCAAACCAACCTTCTCTCCTTTCCTCTATCACATCTTAGTGAAACTCCACTCAGCTGGTCACCAAAGTAGAAAAGGAGTCACCTGAGTCTCTCCTTTTCCCCTCACATTGTCAGTCCCTAAGTTCTGCTGGCTTACCGCTATGCTCTCTCTCCACGTTGCCCCCTCCTCTTATCCCTCACATCACTCTAATACACATTTTTAGCTAACTATTATAATTGTCTTTTGGTATTTCTGCATCTCATCATGACCCCTCTGACTTCTATTCTTCAGGATGTAGTGTCAGAAAGTGATTCCAGGGAGTCTTAACTATACATGTGAAAGGAGGAGAGGGGAGCATGCAGACACAGGAAAAGCACAACAAAAAGTAAATCTGGGTGAGTAAAACATGGGAACTTCCAGGCAAGTCAGAGTGGCTGGAGGTTTGAATTTTTGGAGGTGAGATAGAAAAGGTGAGGAGAACGTAGTAAAAAGATTCTGAAGTTATTTGTGACCTTCAAACTAAAATTCTACTTCCTATTGATTTGTACACCCAAAGAAGAATTCCGAAGACAACAGACAAGTGAGAAAATGTCACTTGTCATGACTAGCCAGCCTCTCCACAAGGCCTGCTGGCTGAAGTGTTATCAAAAAACTGCAGTACCTTGAAATTAAGGAGTTCTTGAGTGAGAAACTTTAATTAACCCCCTACCTCCGCACCTTTTTAGGTCCCATTTCAAAAGCCACTTCATTCTCTAAACCTTCTGCAGGACTTTTCCTCTACTAATTGAATATTAAGTCTCTTTGACGTTCTTATCACCCTCTATATGTCTTTCTTAGCTTAGTTCTTGCCCCGTTCACTGAATGTCTGATCACTTTGTTAGTAAAATGTAAACTCTGTAAACCAAACTTTAGCTCAATAATGACTAACTTAAAATCACCATTTATTACACTTGTCTGTGTTCCTAAAGTACCGAAAGTCGCTGGAATATGGTAAGGAAAGATGATGCCAAGAACACAGAAACTACTCTTTACTCCTGTACCTTCAGAGAGTTGCACCTAAGATTGGGATTTGGGAACCATGTCTGACTTCATGGCTATATCCCAAACCTAGGATTATAACCTAGAGCAATACATTTTAAAACAGCTTTCTTACTGTAAAGCAGGGACTCTAAAACATGCAAATGAAAGACCTCAGCAGCAAGAGGTAGACACTTGTAGTACTCAGAATTAAAAGCTAAGGTAGGGTAGGAGAGCAAGGATCTACAAACACGTTTAAATAGGGAATGTGGTCACTCACCTGTCGAATAGACATGGTACAGAGAATATACAGGAAGATGAAGGAACAGTCTGTGGTGTCATCCCCTAGGAGATTTCGATGTGACAGTCCTTGGATATAGGAAAGGGGGGTGAAAGGGAGCTTTGCCACCACTCTACCATCAAATCTAAAAAGGAAAAAACAAAGAATTGTTATTTTTGGAAGACGGACAAGCTGCTTATTCCAGAGAAGAATCTGAGACAGAAATAGAGTGCCTTAATCTCTACAAAACAAAAAAAGGGTGACTTGAACAACAAGGGTGTAAGGAAGGGGACTATATTTTTCCGATCAGCCTTTTTCTAAACCAGCCATTTTTATTTTTTTCAGAAGGACCCCTTAACACTGCAAAACTATTAGGTCCCTAAAGCATTTTTGTTTATATCTATAAATATTTACTACTGTTTTATAAATTCAAATTGAGAAATGTTAAAATATGTATTAAGTCATTAAAAGGTAGCAATTGTATGTCAATAGAAATATTTTTATGTAAGATCTAAAATGAAAAAGATTCAGTAAGAAAAAAGACTTTTTGGCAAATAACATTTAAATAGAAAACTAATTCTCATAGCTACTTAGTATTCAGGTTGTGACAATATTGTATATCATGAAGTCTCTAAAGTGTATTCACAAGAGAATAAGAGTAAAAAAGTAAAATAACATCTGAGAAATGTTACAAGAATAATTTGGACCTCCAGGGCTTCCTAAGAGTCTCACAGACCTCCAACGATCCTTACACTATACTTTGGAGAACCATTGTGCTAAATCATGACACTAACAGACTTAAGAATCCTTTTTCCAAAGGCTGAAAGATTCTCAAAACACACTCTTAACAGGAGAAACATTTCTGAAGAGAAATTCATGGAATGTCTAGTGGTAAATGAAAAAAAAAAAAAAAACTCAATTATAAACATAATATTCTGAGAATTTTAAACATATTTTTAGTATTTAAAAATAATTCCTTTTACATTTCTAAGATAGACAAGGAAATGTTTCTAAAAGAAAAAACTAGAAGAAATTATGATCAGTATTTATGCTGATATACCAAAATATGCTTCAAGGCATAAGTTATATAATCAGATAATAATGAAAACTATAAAAATTAAAGTAATTACGGATAGTAACAGAAAGATATGATAGTTTTAGCTAAATTATCCAAACAGAACTTAATTCTAGTTAAAATGACTAGAAAATTTCCTCTTAGAAAATACTTATTTAGTGTGTTTCTATGAAGGGAGAGGGAGCATTACCATCTATTCTTAGGGGGAAAAAGTATACCTAAGTATTCAGGTCAACTACTATAGTTCTATTTTTTTATTTGTATATTATATACTATACATATATATTATATATTGTAAGTTTAAAGAGTTTCTTATATAAGTATACTCCAAACAACACAGAATGAATTTGCCATATATATATAAAACTATTCGCTTTCTTCTTCCAACTGCCTTCCTAGTACATATATGAACACATAGGGAGAGGGAGCAATCATGAAGTGACTTCACCAGTGTATGACAAAAATATTTAAAGATGGGATTGAAGGGATCGCTTTCATCGCTAATCCCACAAAAGCAAAAACAAAAATTCTAATTTTTCTAAGAGATACCCTCAGTCAGGCACAAAAAGTATTTAATATAGTTGTCCTAGTATTTCGGGTTACCGGCCATATATAGTATGCTCTTCTGGGAATGCAAATCTGATTGTTCTTCTGTGGAGTTAAACCATGAAAAGACAGGGTAGAACAGATCTAAAAAGTTTATTCCCCTATTGCTAACATACACATTGAACAAATTAATCTTTACTTTCAACTAAAACTATAACCAAAAAGAAAATAAACTTTAAAAATAAACAAATTAACTATAAAGTTTCACATTTCTAAAAATCAACATATAAAATCAACTGGTTTCTATACACTAACAATGAACTCTCTGAAAATCCTCTAGCCCCTTGGCCACTGCTCATCTTTATAGCCATCTCCATTTCTTTTGAGCACTGAATACTATTCTACTGTCTGGATATTACACATTTATTTGTCCACTTATGCATTTACCCACTAAAGGCTATCTCAGTTACATCCAGATTTTGGCAATTATGAATATCTATACATATCTAAGTGCAGGATTTTGTGTGAATTTAAGTTTTCAACTCAAGGGTCACTTTCACTTTTTTATTCTAATTATTCTATATTGCTGGGATTGTTTTTGAAGTCTTTGTGCATTACTAATATAGGCAAATTATTTTTATTTTTATTTATTTATTTTTTAAGATTTATTTATTTATGCATACAGAACTGGGTACAGACCAGAGTTGCAGGGGCGGTGAGAGGATTCACAGGAGACAGAGTGGGGAGCAGAACAGGTCGACTGACGAAGTACACTGCTGAGGGGAGCAGTGGGCGGGTCAGGAGAGGTCTGCCGTGCCATGTGGGTCACCTCCGGGGCAGGGATCGAACTCATGCTAAAGTGGCTTTAGCTTCTTAGTGCTGTGTTTTAACCTGCTGCACCACCAGGGAGGGTCGGAAAATTATTTTTAAAAGCCAGTATGTGATCCTGATGCATATCCCTGGCTAAAATCTACTGTATAAGCTTTGGGAATGCTACAAATATGATAAACGAGTTATTTCAAGTCATCCAGGAAAAACTATTTTTTCCCTATATGGTATTGATTGCTTGGAGAACCTGGTAAGTTGGAAACTAAACATCAAAATATATTATAGATGAACCAAGATATCAATGTAGAAAACAGAAGTGTCTATAATCTTGTATGAGGAATATTGCATATTGTTTGAATCTGGATAATATTATTCTTGCAACTTTTCTGTAAATTTGAAATATTAAAATATTACCAAAAATTAACTGCTCTCTTATAACACACACAGAGCAAAAGCTAGGTAGTCATGTAAAAAGATACTCACATAGAATTGAACATTCCCATTAAAGCAGTAAAACAGAAGCCAATGGCAAACATGGATTTCATTCGAACCTGTAAGGAGACCAGAGAACTGTCAGCTCACACTAATGAAAATCAACACTAAAGCACACACACGTTTGGTTTTAAGTCATTTTTTAAATGCATGCCTCAGAAAAAAGTTATTCTTTGATTAATCCATCCACCTCTTCTCCTTGACATCTTTTAATAAGTAGTTTGGGCTGGCCATGTGACTAGATTTTAGCTAATGAATTATAAGTACTGACAGGAACTTTTGAAAGGGAGAAACACATCCTTTAGACCTTCTGCCAACTATTCTTGCCTAGAATGAAGAAAGTAATGCCTGAGCTAAGCAGTCATCAAACAAACAACCTCAAACTAGAAAACGCAGATCCTGAGAGTTTGATGACATTGAACACCTGTATCATCCTGGACTGCCAAACTCTGGACTTCTTGAGCAAGGAAAAGAAAAATCCTTTATCTTTTTAAACTATTGTCAGTTATTCTAGTTCATGCAGCAAACTTCCTTTATACTTTTATAATTACATGCTTATAAAAGTATAAATAAGCAAAAGACTAGTTATTGGGCAATTTTTATCTCTTCTTTTTATAGTTTCCAAATTTACTACTGTGAACATGGATTAATGTATCACAGAAAATACAAGCTGTTTTCAAAAAATGTATTTGTAAATATAATCTTTATTATTAAGAATTTCAAGAAACATAAGATAAAGAAATATGACAAAGCTCTCTTGGTAAGCACAGGACTACTTTTGCAGAGCTCAGATGTCCTGTATTAAAAATACAGAAATTAAGTAGAAAAATGAGTCAAGCCTTTTCATTAGCCTAGCTACACTTCAGGAAAATATGCTTGAACAAACTCCTCTTTATAAATAAGAAATGAGTAATAACATCACTTTTCTTTCCACTTTATAGTATGCCTGACACTAGAACAAAAGGCAACAATAGAGTCTACCTATAGTGCCCCTCCAGGTCACTATAAAATCAAAGATTTAGCATTAACATAGGAAGAAAAAGAAAATAAACAATTACATTCAAATGTAGGGGTACACATGTGATGTCTGTGAAAGAGACAAGCTGTGCTCACCAAGACAGCCTCACAAAGCTATTTATGAAGCACCATGTCTGGCCACAAAGATGGCAAGAAGTCCCTGAAGCAGCCCAAGAAGCAGTCAAGAGGATGAACAAACAGAAACAGGAAGGGCAAGGGGCAGGGAGGGCGAGGAGGGAAGAAGGACCCCTGGCCACAGGGGGAACTGAGGAATCTAACAAAAACTAAGCTGTTGCTTGTGCCTGAGACAATGGTGTCCTCATTCCATTTCTATTTAACACTTGGATTACCACCAATAGCTAGAATAAAGTGTCTTGAAGCCTGTTGCATGTTTAAGAATAAACTCTTATTAAAAAATAAAATCAGAGCCCTCCTGGGTGGCGCAATGGATTAGGACACAGCACTGCAAGCTAGCTGCACCTGCTTCAGTGTGAGTTTGATCTCCGGCCCTGGAGAAGATCCACAGGGTCTTTGGCTAAAAAACTGTGATTAACCGTGAATTCATACTTAGGACTCTTACCATTGACAAATCTCTGTTGTTGTTCTTCAGCTTCTCTTCTTGCCTCTCTGAAAAGAATTAATGAAATGGTTAATTACACACAGTGCAGAGCACAAAACACATGCTAAACTATCACTGATTGTAACTATCTGCTTTAATATCATTTAAAAAGATAAGCAGAGGCCCTCCCTGGTGGCGCAGCGGGTTTTAAGCACAGCACTAAGAAGCTAAAGCCACTTCAGCATGAGTTCAATCCCTGCCCGGAGGTGACCCACATGGCACAGCAGACCTCTCTTGTCCCTCCCGCTGCTCCCCTCAGCAGTGTACTTGTCGATCTGCCTGTTTTGCTCCCCACTCTGTCTCTGGTGAATCCTCTTACCACCCCTGCACCTTTGGCCTGTACCCAGTTCCGTATGCATAAATAAATAAATCCTCAAAAAAATTTAAAAAATGAGCAGAATACCTGAAATATGGTATACTTTATACCAACAGAAAATTAAAAATGCAGTAGAGCATGAAACTATTTCCAGTTAAATAAATAAACATATGTAAAGTTTCATTTTTAAAAGTCACCTTAGGTGTTAAAGTGTTTTAACTTGGTACATTAAGATATACAGCTATTAAACTATTATAAAAAAAAGATATACACCTATTATATCAACAATAATTACCAAATCAGTTCATAAGTGTAAAATATTTAGACTTCAAATATTAATTAACCATCTAGCATATTTAACTCTTCTATTTCATTAAGAAAATATTTAAGTTTTACAAGCCAATTAGTATGATTTTGAAATTCAGGTTACTTCATATTGCAGTCAAGTTATTCTAATAATAAGCCATCAAGTCACTTAGGTAGGAAATAAGACATTTCAAGAAATGTATCATATTCATGGAACCCAAACTGTTAGAGAGTTATTAACTGGACATTAATATCCAGTTGAACTACATTCCATCAACATACTGGACATCACTGCTGTACTTACAAAGAAGACCAAACCGTGGGGCAGTGATGCCAGAGATCACAAAGTTTTTTATGGCCAAGCCAGAACAAGTCCAAGCTCCCTGACTCTCAGACCAATGGTCTCTGTATACACTACGCAGTCACCTTCTTTGATCACATATTTTTATAACTGGATTTAATTTATTCAACAAACATTTATGACTGCCTACCAGGTGCCAGGTACTTTTCTGAGCACTAGAGTTAAACAAATGAACATCACACACACAAAAATTCTCTCGCAGCCAGATTATAAATTGAAAATATGAAACACTCTTAAACAAAAAATGGGCCTTTGGAATATTTTAAACTGGTGTAAAGACTGGTAAATTCAGGCAGGTAAAGAAAAGTAACAAGAACAGGCTTTCACACTGGACTAAAGTCCCCAAACCATTCATGAGGCAATGAAGGTATGATCCCTTAACTGTGGCAGTTTGTACTCCTTGGGAGCCAAAGGACACATGCAGGAGAGAGTAGGGATGTTGAAAACATATAGTAGGAAATGAATAAGAAGGAACAGAGATAAGATCTATTTTGGAGACTGGAATTCCTTTTCCATCTGAGCAAGTCTCTTACAACGTAACAAAAATATTTTTTTTAATTGTGGAGGCTGAAAACTGTGGTCAGAGCTGAATGTCAGAAACCTTGGTGGATCCTTGACATCTTACTACTCTCTCAACCAATACCAAGTCCCAGTAATAAATCCCTTTTAGGTATTTATTCCTTTTAGATATTTATGAATCCAATCCCTTTCCTTCTTACAACCTCCTTCTAAGTTAGAATTTCTAACACCCCTTACCTGTATTATTTTAAAATGCTAACCAATCTCACTATCTCCAGATGTGTTTACTCAAACTTACCTTCCACAAAGCTGCCTGTCAGATTTACTTTATAGGCAAAATTAGGATACCTCCCAGCTTAAAATTCCTGCCATGGCTTTTAAATTTTAAAAATGCCCTCCCATAGAATTTTCACCTGGGATATAACAGCAGTGATGTAGTTACTGAGGTAAAACTTCTAAACCAAAGACAATTTCACATTTTTTTCCTTATTTCGGAATCAAAACGCATAAAGTATAAATACAAATCATATTTAATAATTCACAAATTCTCTTTTTGGAATAGAATCACATTCTGTAATTCAACTCTAGATTACACTGAAAAAACAAAAATTTCATAATTTTCAAACTAGATAATGACTCATCAAAAAATTTCCTACCCCTCCATGGATTACCATTACAAGTCAACCCTCAGTGGGGAAGTGATGGCAACAATGTGCACAAATTAATGCAAACTTAATTGGAAAGAATCATCTCAGATATGAAAAATAGAAGGCTTTACAAACTAAAACAATCTTCAGTCAAGTTGAACAGCCATGATATTCAACATTTTACTAAAACTAAAATTTCAAAGCTAAGAGCAATAAGGAACACCTGTTTAAACTTGTCCTAAAATTGGCTGAGAGAATCAAGAAAGATAAAGCATGCAGGTGCTTTGTAAACCATAAAATTTACAAACACAAATTATCACTATGAGCAATTTTATTATCTCATCATCATTTAAGAATTTTTTTCTAAGAAAATCTAAATTTTATTTAGATATACCAACAACTCATCTTACCTATTTTCTTTTTTTGTTGTCGACCTGCAGACTCTGTTATCGTTTCCTTCTTCTTTTCCACTGAAAACAACATAGTGACAGTCAAAGTTATGCACTGTGCTAAAGAAACAAAGAATGCTTGTCACAAGTGAGCCAATAAGAGACTACAAGAAAATTATAAAACTGACTGATTATAATCTATTGAGCCAACTGATTTTTTTTTTAATCCTTGTTTATTTTTCACAATATAGGATTCCTCCTCTCAGGTGTGGTCACCATATTTTTACCACCACCAAAGCACTCATAGTCCTCCACCACAGTCCACTGTGCTCTCCTTCCCCTGTTTCTAGCATCTTTCTCCGTACCTGCTGACAGTAAAAAGTAGACACGATATTCTAAGAAAAACAACACTATTGTAAGCACCTTTAATCAAATACCCATAAAAGAGTATATGAAAATACAATTACAAAACTGAGACGATTTCCTTATCAGCTCAGAGTGATTCCTTAGGTAAACTCTAAGTACAATTTTCAATTCTGCTCTCAAGCAACTATGGTTGCCTATGTTCCACTCTTACTTTCACTATAGAAGACAGGAATTCATTCATTCTGTTACCTAAGTAATAGGTACAGTTGTAGGCGGATAAATGAAAATAATACATGCTTCCTGAGTTTTGATAAACTGTCTAGGGTACCTAAGACCATAACAATATAGTACCAACATCATCTCTCCTCATAGTTACCTTAAAAGCAAGAATATTAAAGAATTGTATTAAAACTTACAATTATGGGGACTCCCTGGTGACCTAAGGTCTAAGTCTCAGTGCTATCACTACTAAGACCTGAGTTCCGTCACCAGCCAGGGAGCTGACCCACCTGAGGCAAACCCACCACTCCAGTCTTGCCTACAGCTCTCCTTAGCATGTTAGTAAAATTGCCTGTTCTGCTCCCCACACCTCTGGCTACACTCCAGTTCTTCTACAGAAAAAAATAAATAAAAATAAATTAAGAAAGCTTCTGCACATTTGCTATTTCCTTCCCAATCTCAATTTCTACCCAAACTCCAACTACAAGGACTACAAGGCCATCTGCATCACAAAGGCTTCCTAGATCTCTCCTAACAGAAGGGGATCTCTTTAGAACCATCACAGTACATAACACCTACCTCTCAGGGTGCTGACTCTGTTTAGTTTGTGTTATACAATTTACTTAAGTCATATTTCTACATAAACATTTGGTTGGAGTCACCTTTGTATTCCTATAAAGTTTTTGTTTTCAGTTGCTGCTCCTACTGTGAGTGTACATTCAGTAAACATGAAATGTTGAAGCTCTTCAGAAAGGTGCTAGCATACTCACATTTTTTACTCTGTTTTTCCACTTCTGCCTTCAGTCTCTTGTATTTGTCTGTCCTGTAAACTAGGACCCAGGTGATACCTGAAATATTAAGAGTGACATAATAAAAAAAAGTTTGGAACAGTCATAACCACTGTTAGTGGTTACTGTTACTTTAGGAAGACTTTCAACTTTCTGCTTTGTATTTGCCAGTAGTTAACTTTTTTCAAATGTTGAGACAAATTGATGCTTCAACCTAAACGACCGTGATAGAAGGTGGCTTCACAAATACACAAATGAAATGCACCTTCCACCAAAGACACTTTAGAAGGGGACTCCCCACAACTCCTGCAGCTCCAGTTCCCAACAATGCCCAGAATGGAATAGATGACACACTGCCCCCTCCCCATAAGCAAGGCTCGCGATCTCCCCCTGGATAACTCGACGGGCCGCTGGCCTAGGAGACTTCCCCTTGCTCTCACCCTCAGCAAGAAGAGCCGTGCACACAGAAATAAAAACGATGAGCAGTGTGTCCGCGAACATGGTACTCATATCTCACTCTTGTCTCCGCACTCCCACCGCCACGGGGGAAGCGCTGCAGGGCCAGGAAAAAAGGAACGGACGCAACTGCCCCAGGCTCCACCAAACCAGTACCACTACCACCAGTTCCACTAAACTGTTCTGACAGTCGGCAAGAACACTTCCGCTTCCGGGGCGTAGCTCCAATTAGGGCTGCTTCCTATCACAGAGCGGAAACCCCGTTTGCGAGCGGGGATTGAAAAGCTGGTGCTTTGTCCAGCTCTCGCGAGAGTTGGTGCAGGAACGCCTGACGCACTGTACGGCAGCGGAGCCTAACCCGGAAGCAATTCCCCGGCAAAGGTGCTGGACACTCGTGCTGTTCGGCCAGGTTGTTGTGGTCATCTGCTTTTCTACCTAAGCAAAGACAGATTCTGAAGCCGAGCGGATAGTTTAGCCTATTTGCGTGAAGCAGAAAGAATAACTTCTCCATACATATGCAGGACCCCGGCGTTTAGGCTCCCGGCCACGCATTTGAAACTGGGTACGAAAAAATCAATAAGTTGCGTCTATTGGCTTCATGGAAATCACGACCTAGCGAAGGAGAGAAACATGAATATATGGTGTAACTAGGATTTTCATAGATGTATGACCAGATTCTGCGGGGACCCTACTGAGCGTGTGGTCAGAGAGAGCTAGTGAAAAGAATTGAACCGAGAATTTAAAGAGTTTTGCTTCGGAGGAAGCATAGAACATTGTCGGCATAAACACGGATGCTTCAGTGTACCCTGAGTAATAGTAGCCGGTGTTTAGGGAACGGATCTTTAACCCAAATGCCTACAGTAATGAGGCATAAATTATGCAGGCGGAGTATAAAGTGTTGAGAGCCACAGTGATGAATTAGGGAACGCTGACTTGATCTGAAAGGGGCATTGAGACATTCAGCCCATTTTTCCTGAGACAATAAGCATCTCGTTACTGTTATCTTCTCATTTTCCAGGAAAATCCAGAAATACTCGTTTTACGTGCAAGTTCAGTTTATAAATGCTGGCAATTCATTAAAAATTTTAAACGAAAAAAAAATTTAAACGCTGTTTTAGATCAAAGAAACTGTCTTAACAACCTGTTTTAGCCTGTGTAGAGGTTTTTTGGCTTTTTCAGGCTAAGGATGTATGTATGGATGTCTATGAAAATCTGGAAGCTGGTGGAAATGTCTCCCCATGTACGTACTTGGCTCTTTTCCTTATGCCCCAGTGCACTTTATTTATCTATAACACAACTTTTGGTATTTTTTACTTATACACATATTTCTTGTCTCCTGTATAGACTTAGCAGCAGAGACCCTGGTATCTCCTTTTAACTTAGGCACTGTAGGGTCAGAAGGGTGATTAAGATACTGTCATGTATAAATTTCAGCGTTCTCCATGGAAACTAGGAATAGTATCATAATTCGTGAAAGTTTTACGTTAGATAAGGTGTAGTAGCTTTGTAAAATGTTTATGAGAGTACAGATGAAGACAAGATTGGTTTTTCTTGGAGGCGTTGAAAAGGCTTTATATTTTGGGTTAGGCCATGATTTTGAGTCTTTTGTCGATATGTAAAATAGTACTTGTAGTCCACGTTTCTTTCCATGTTTCTTTTTCAGGCCTAGTTTCTAACTGCCAATGGATATGATATATCCATTTGGATATCCAAAATCAAACCTTGGCAGTTATTTTCTTCAAACTTGCATTTTCTTTTCTAACTTTATTCCCTTAAGGAATTCTAGAACTATGGGAACTATCCTTTAAATAACTATCTTTTTTTTCTACACATCTAATCACCAAGTTTAATAAGACATCCTTCTTTTATGTCTTTCTTTCACAGCTATATCCCCTCCACTGCACTTTTGTTCTAGGTCACTGTTGTTTTCTTTTGTATGACAACCTTTTCCTGGTTGGGCTCCACTTTCAAAACCAATTTTGTCCTGCCTAGCCGGCCATTCTTTTCATGTAATCAAATGACCTTTCTCAAATACAAAGATTATTGTATATGGAGAGCTTAGAAGAGGTATTGAGGGCAGCTTCCTAGTTTTTTTTATATACCTGAATATATAACATTAGAGAAAACAGAATAAGAATCAGTTCTTCAGATGTTTTTCCCTCACTGCACTAACAGGATTACATAAATACCTTCAGAAAACCTAAGCAGGAGAAAATTATGAAGCCCTTCCCCAAAACAGTTACAATAAAACTTATCAATGTGAAATAGAAGTTTTTTCAATATCTTATTTTTTTTTTCAAATAATTTTCTCTCTGTGTATGTGTGTATGTATATACATCAAGTACATGTTTAATCTGTGTTTTGGGTAACAGCACTGTCTTTGAGGACAGAGACTGTCTCTAGTTCATTGTTTTATTCTCAGCTTTTAGAACATGACCTGTCAAGGAAGCTGCTCAGTATACTTTTATTAATTAGTAAAACTGTTGAGAGAGAAGAAAATAGGTTAAATATATATAGCAAAAAAAATTGGGAGTTTTAGCTTAATCCTGAAAAAGTGAAATTTAATTAGAGATGGGAAAAGCAGTGGTCAGTAGAATTTTTGGAAAATGAGAAAGAGATAGGCAATTAGAGCTGTGTGTAGTTGCAATAAACACTGTCAAAAAGACTGCTGTACAAATAGAATCGATTAAGAGGTAAATGAATTATCAGTAAGAGGGTCATTGTTGAATTTCAGAATATCTATAAATCCGATACTGTAGATAAAACTTCATATATGCTTTTTTATTTCTGAATTGAGCAGTTTTCATCCAATTCTCAAAGGAGTTTATAATGTTGACTTAGGAAATTTTTATATTGCATATTTGAGGCTGATAATCAGGCTTTAGGTTGGTACTGAAGCCACTTAGTTCTCAAATTTCTCTACTACCATACTCTTTAGGAGTAAAAGTGAAGTAAGAAATCTTAGGAAGATAAAACTGAAGCTTAGGAGTTTATATTTGTCCTAACATTATAATTGAATTTTGCATTAGGGTTTGGTATTAATGCTGCCTTATCAAAAGATACTCAGCCTCATTGGTAATTCAGACTAATCACAGAACCACTTCATTCATTTGGCAAAAACTTGGCAGTCAAATTGGAAAGGAACAGTTAATTAACTTAATCTGTTTACAGATGACATTTTACATAGGAAATCTGAAACTTTCCACACACAGAATAACTAGTAGATCTTGTAAAGAAACTCGCCAATTGTAGAATATAAAATCAACACACAGAAATCAGTTGTTTCTGTAACAGTGAATAACCTGAAATGTAAATTAAAATAACAGTAATACTTACAGTAGTGCCAAAATAAAATACAAAGAAATAAATTTAATTAAGGAGGGGAAAGATTTGTACACTAAAAACTACAAAGCATTATAGCAAGAAATTAGGTAAGACTCAAGTATGGCTCCCTAATGGCACATCGGTTAAAGTCACAGCGCTGTCAAGCTACTGTGGCCACTGCAGCATGGGTTTGATTCCAGAGAGTTGACCCACCCGACACAGCAGACCTCTCCTGTCTCACCAGATGCTCCCCTCAGGAGTGTATTTCAGTACCTGTCTGTTCTGCTCTCTACTCTGTCTGGTGAATCCTCTCACCTCCCACACCTCTAGCCTGCACCCCAGTTCTTATGTGCATAAATAAATCCTAAAAAAAAAAAAGACATAAGTAAATGAAGACATTCTATGTTCGTGGAATGAAAGACTTAATATTGTCAAGATGCTAATATTTCTCTAGACCATCTACATGATCAACAAAATCCTTGTCAAAATCACAGCATTTTTTGCAGATACAGAAAAATCCATCCTAAAACTTACATGGAACCTCAGAGGACCTCAGTAGCCAAAAGGAAGAACAAAGCTGGAGGCCTCATACTTCCTGATTTCAAAAGGACAGTAACTTAGTGTGATACTGTCATAAAGTCAAACAATGGGATAAAAGAGCCCTCATGTATTTTCTGATGTTTTTAAACAGGACTATCAAGTTCATTCAGTGGGGAAAGGACAGTCTTTTCAATAAATAGTATTGAGGCAGCTGGATATAAACAGGGAAGAGAGTGAAATTGGACCCTTATACCATAAACAAAGTTAAGTGATGAAAGACTTAAACTTTACAGTTAAAACTAAAAACCTTAGAAGAAAATGGGGAAAACATCATGACATTAGATTTGGCAATGATTTATTGGCTATGACACCAAAAACAGGCAAAAAAAAAAAGAAATAATAAATTGGACCTCATCAAAATAAAAAAGAAGCAGGGGCTTCACTGGTGGTGCAGGAGTTAAAATCTCAATGCTATCAATCTTATCACCAGTCACTGCTGCATGAGTTGGATTCCTGGCCCAGAAGCTACCCACATGGCATAGCAAACCTCTCCAGTTTCGCCCGCTGCTCTTCTCAGTAGTGTATTTCAGTAGATCCACCTGTTCTGCTCCTCACTCTGTCTTCAATGAATCCTCTCATCACCCCCATCTGGCTTGTACCCCAGTTCTTGCATGCATAAACAATTTTTTTTAAGATTTATTTATGCTTACAGAACTGGGGTATAGGCCAGAGGTGTGGTGGGTGAGAGGATTCACCAGAGATAAGAGTGGGGAGGAGAACAGGCAGATCTACTGAGATACACTGCTGACTGGAGCAGCGGGCTGGTCAGGAGAGGTCTGCCACACCATGTGGGTCAGCTCCCTGGCCAGGGTCAAACTCTGCTGCAGTGGCTTCAGAGCGCTTCAACGGGTGCTTTAACCCCACCCCGTATGCCACAAGGGAGAGCCCTGCATAAATACTCTTTAAAAAAAAAAAAGGCCCTGCCTGGTGGTGCAGGGGTTGATGTCTCAGAGCTATCAATCTTATCACCAGCCACTGCTATAGGAGGTAAGATTCCAGGCCAGGAAGCCACCCACAATGGCATAGCAGACCTCTCCTGTTCCTGCCTTTGCTCCCCTCAGCAGTGTATTTTACTTGATCCACCTGTTCTGCTCCTCATTTTGTCTTTGGTGAATCCTCTCACTTCCCTCCCACCAAATCTGGCCTGTACCCCAGTTCTTGCATGCATGCATAAACAAAAAAATAGCCCTCCCTCTGGTGCAGGGGTTAAAGTCTCAGTGCTATCAATCTCATCACCAGCAACTGCTGCATGAATTAGATCCCCAGTGAGGGATCTGACCCACAT